GTGTCAATTCTCCCGATGAGATGACCCTGCCAGTGCTGGGAGCTCGCCACGAAGACACTTACGGATCGCAGCTGCGAGAGAATATCGCATCACCGGTTTCGCTGTACAAGCGCCAATCATAGCAAACATGTGTCAAGCAGGAACCTCGCAACCTGGGAAGACGGGAATTCTCCCGGTGATTCGGAAATGGCTTACCACTGTACCCGGTAAGTGCAGCCCGCCTTCATTGCTATTGGACACGACGAGTGGGAAGCGGCGGATCGTTAAGCGGTAGCAATTTGATGGGAGTCGGGATGACAGCACATCACCGGAAGGTTGACTCACGCGCACGGACCATCGCACGCGCGGCTTGGTCTCTATCCAGGGTATATAAGACAGGCCACTTGTGGCGTAGACCCCATCCCTCGCAGCAACTCGACCAACAGTCGTCTATTGCTTTGATCCACTCCTATTCAATGCTCTGACGCTTTGACAGGCAATTGCTGCGCTCCCGGAAGGTAAGTGCACGACAGTGTTGACTCTGCTTCTGGGAGTGAATTGACGTACACGAGTTCTGATAGTTTTTGCCAGCCCCGGATAGCAGCCAGGTGCTTCGCGGAACGGTGGGTTATTCTGTCCGCGAAAGTCAACTAACACATTCACTGAAACTGCCCTGTAGAGCACGGTAACGCTATAATCAGAGCGATGAATCTTGCATCACTGTCAGGTGCTCGTGGCGTAAGTGTACACTTCCGTCACAATTATTGGCCACTACTGATCATACAGTTCGGTGAGTTTCTTATGTTCTGAACAGATACATGTGATCCCGATACTAAACTACAATTGCTCAGATCGCCAGGCTAAGGCTGACATTCGATTCCGTTGCTAATCATGAAGGTGTCGACTACGAACATCCCATCAATGCAACTGTAAGTCATCGTCGTTCACTCTTTGTCGTCGAACTCAATCTGAACCTCTCACTGGCACACCAGTCTGTTGATCGCACGGCGAACACAATGTCATAGAAACGCAGCCCGATTCGAGTCGAGAAACCACCAACTCGTTACTATCGGATATCCGTCGAACCGGAGGCAAGCTGACTGGGTGTGTCATATCAGAAGCAGAGTATGCACGATCCCGACGACTAACCAATGCCTGTCCAGCTCGACGCGATAGCCGGTGTCAAACGGCGGACCCGTAAGGTACACCCGTATTCCGTTGTTACCGAGGTCGTGTGCGCGCAGTCACGGTGTCCTCCGCGTACTCCGCAGCCTGCCTACCTGATATTCACGTGCGGTACGTTGTTCTCGGGCTGTGGATTTGTTCTCTAATCCTGATTCCGCTCTTCCATTCCCAATAACAATGCTACTTACCCCACGTAAGACGAACTGGTACGTCGCCACTTCTCTTGCCAACTCGGTCAATCGACAAGCTGACGGTCTCTTCAATACGAATTGGAATATACGTGCTTCACGCACAATACACCATACTATACACCAGTACTTACCGTACGTAGTGGGTGTATCCTTCGCTAGAGGAGACAGGGCATCCGAGACTACCGGTCATCCCGATCGCCGTGACGTGTGCGAGAGCCCGGACCAGCGTTGCGGTACTGGTGTGGCTCGTTGCACACGATCGGAGGTCGGTGTTCTGGGCCTCATGTGCCTGTCCCTTGATTGATACATGGGGACGCGCCGCTGCCAGAGACCGCCAGACGCATGCAGGACTGGTCTGCAAAAATCATGCGCAGTGTCGTCGGTCCAGTCGTGTTGCGGGTAGTAGACGATGCCGCTGTCCACTGGTCGTCGTGTTGTATCGAATACGCGACTCGTCGTCTGCCGTGGGCTTGCAGCTGACGACATTCGGAAGCGCACCGAACGGGAATCTCGGACGTGGCACTACTGTGCAATTTGCAACATCTTGATGATGTCTTGCTGCGTCCGGAGCGCCGTGCCTTTGAATTGCGACTCGGCGGGGTCCGATGAACCAATCGGCTATCGTGAGATGGGCTGAGCTGCACGATGGGCTCGGCCCGGGATGGGCACGGTCGCTACGCAGAAGTCGATCGTCAGGCAGCAGGACCGCTGTAGGCGGTCGCCAGTGTCCTCGAGTCTCGGGCTGCGCTAACGATTCCTGCACCAGACTTGCATTCGAACCAAGGAGGCATCCTGTCAACGGGATAGTAAGTCAGTGCCATTCGTCCACCGTGGTCTATGTAGCTCAATGAACCTCTCACCAGGATGATCGCACGGCATACGTGATCCTGTCGAACTACAGCCCTGCCAGAGTCCGGAGACCACCGACTCGTTAGGTACGCTATCACTCATTGGCATCCACCGACTGGTCACTGACGAGTATCCGTCGAACCAAGTACAAGCTGGCTAGGTGCGTCACATCAGAAGTAAGGCATGCGCGATTCCGACGACTCACCATGCCCTCCCAGCTCTCGACAGAACACTAGCCAGTCTCAAACGGCGGACTTGGAAGGTACGTCCATGCGTTCCACTGTTGTCATATGCCTGCGTCCCTAACGTCCTGCCCGTCAGAGTCCGTCCCGCGTTCGACTCTGCTCGCAGCGAGTTCTTCAGCTTCGTCACGTCCGCTACCACTCACATCTGCACTCAACAGATATATTCGTCCGGGGGATACGTCCATCTACATAGCAGTAGCAGTAGTCCACGTCGACAGACCACACTCAGCCGGCGGCGTGCACAGGCGCGTCGTCACCGGCTTACTGTTGAAGCAGAGCTGACAGCGCGCTGCGCACGGCGACGCTCCGGACAGCGGACAGAGCAAACCCCGGGCCGTCATGCTCGGCCTGTCCCGCCCGCGGTCGTTGCGTAACACAGGGCAGACCGGCATGTCCATGTCGGGCCTCGCCCGTCCCAGCCATGCGTGCCCCGTGAGCTCCCGGTGGGTGGAAGTTGCTCGCCTGGCTCGGTGGACGGCAGACTGGCTCGTCTCCTTGAGAACCGACCTCGTCCTGTGCACTCACTCGGCACATGGAGCCCTCAACGTCCGGTGACGGCGAGGAGATCGGTCTCGGGTGCCGTAATCTCGGGTGCCGTACTGTCCCGGCGTGGGGACCGGACGTGTGTTCGTTGTGCGAGCACTGGGTCGGTATAGCAACGTCCGCGCCCCGCGTAAGCGTAAGCGAGGAGGCGGCCGCACGTCGATGTCCATGTCACTCGATGGCAAGCGGATGCAACAGCGCACGTACCTTCGTGCAATTGTGTGTCATGAGAGCACCTGCGGCCCATCCCCGTATCGTCACGGACTCGCCCTCGGTCCGTAGACGTCCTTGAGTCGGCAAGCGAAGCCCTGTGGTCGTGACGGTCAGCACGCATCTGCGCGCTAGCCACTTGCCTCTGCCTGCGCTCTATGAGTCCCGTCCGCAAACACACCGCCGTCACGCCTTCTGTGCGACCGACGCCTCGCGACCGGCTGTGTTAGCGAACAAGCGGCTGCGCGCACCCATACGTATCCAACGGCCGTCCTGGTCCGCGCTCGTGAGCCGCGACCACCGTGCGAGCAGACGTGGACGCGGAGTTTGCCACGCCGGTTGCCCCTTGCCCGGGCGTGCACTGTGTGCAGGCTGGTCCAGGGCTGCTCAGTCTCTGGCACGTCCCCTCACGCGCTCACCGTCCCCTCCCGCACGGCCCTCACCGACCGTGCAAGCTGCTTCCCCACATGAGGTCTTGCGTCGCACGCGCCGAGCCGTGATGCATGAGCGTTTGGTCTGCCGTCCATAGGTCACGACGTCCGCCCTCTGTCTGATCATCCGCGGCTCCCGATGTCTCGCATCGAGCGGCCCTCGACTATGCAGACGTCAGCCTCAAGCACGGCTCTCGGCATCCACAACTTGAGCTCGCTGTGGTACGTGACTCATGACCTGCTGCCCTGCAAGTGTCACTCACATACGTCGCCACGCAGAACGGTCTAACGCACCTGCCTGTCTCGCGGGCTGCACATCGCCACCGGTACGTCAGTTAGTTTGCGTCGCTCCAGGCGGCTGACGTGGTCCTGCCACGCAGAACGCGACAGCGCGCGGGATGCGCAGCGTCCACAGTGACACGTACCGGTGCGGACGCCAGCACGGACAGCCATCTGTGTAGACCAGAGGGTCCGGTACGCACTCCCGTATTAGCGTGTTCGGTGTCGCTGACGCGTACCCGTTTCTTCATGTCTTCGCGTTGTATGCAGCAGATCGTTGGCTTGCGACGGCCGACCGCGGGACACGGGAAGTACGTCGGGTAGCGCAGTCGACGCGTGGGAGGGATGGTGGGCGGGCGGGTGTGTGGAGGGCGAATGGACGGAGAACGGGTCTTGGACAGGGGCGGGGCGCAGCGCTCTGAGCGTCCTTGGGACACTCGTTAGTACAGTGAGGGAAGGCGGACACGCATACATACCAGGCGCGATACTAGTACTGTGCGCGGGTCGTGCCTGTGTCGGGCACCGGGGTCGTGTTGCGAGGCACGCAGAAGCCTCGGCGCATCGGAAGGGCGGGGTGCTCACGCGGAGAGCGGATGGCGGTCGTGGACGGATATTGCTGGCTGGACGAGTCGACAAGACGAGTCGCGGACAGAGAGAGCAGCGGCGACGACATGCGTCAGAGACCTGTCAGAGACGCGTCATGGGCGATGCGCAACCGGCGCTCGACGCGGGGCGAGACCGCAGATCGCCAATCGCGAGCAACTCGATCCTGGTGGCTCTCCCGGTGTGTCGTGACATCGTCATGCGAACGTCTGGATCTGACCCCCTCTGGGCGTCGTGCAGAGCTAACAGAGGTCGCCCAAGGTGCGTCGCCACTAGTGGGGAGTCGCCCGTGACACGATACATACCGCTTCTGTTCCATACCTGGGCCGTCCGGTGAACGAGCTCGAGGGTCCTGACTCTTGGGTAGTTCGCAGAGCTTGACAGAGGTAGTCTCCCCAGGCAGACGTAGACAATCCCTTCAACCTTCGTGCACCGTGCCTCCGGATATCGACGACAGAGTATCCGTGGCACGGGCATGCGCATTAATTTTATTTCAATCTCGATCGCGGATTTGCCGTGGCCTAATGCGCAACTTACATCCAACTTACATCCTCTTGCAAGGGGTTGTCCTCTTCCTGCTCTTCCCGCTCTTCCTGCTCCTCCTTCCTCCTCGATTCCACTGATACCTGCACTCGCGATGGCGGTCACGATGCTCATTCAGTATAGAGCGGACAAGGCTCGTCTGTTCAATATATACCAAGAGGACGCGGAACGGTACCTAGCGGGCTTCCTTGGAGACGACTTGCGGACGTTGGGGCTGCCGATGCCACACGAATGTGTCTTCAAGTCGTGGCGCACAGGATTTGTCCTGTGCAATTGGGACGCGGCGGATGGCAGCGTGTGTTTGTTTCGCTCTAGGTATGTCTCCGACTCTGATCAGACCCACAGTCGTTGCACCGGCAGCTCATCGCTGCCTTCCAAGACATTCGCAGATCCACGAGGTCGTTTCCGGATCTGTTCATGTGAGCTGTCGTACGCTACATCACAGCATCCTACGCTTCACACCGTCCCCTTCGTCAGTGGGAGGATCGAACTACATGACGGGTGGGTCGGGACGTCGCGTGTACGAGGCGCGTCGCTCATGGCTGGTCTGCTAGCGGATCGCGGACGGTCGCCTCCGCGCCCTTCGCTTATAAAAGACAGAAAAAGGCATCTGCGCACACACGCGATGTGCCTGCCCCAGGCCCCGGCAAGGCCCCCACCGCGCCCAAGTCGACGCTCCTCGCGAGACATGCGAGTTCGCCGCTGGCGCGACCAATGGCACCGTCACACCAGTGTAGGTTCCGTGCCTATTCTCGGAATGCCTGTAGCTGAGCACCGGTCAAGACCACACAAATCACTTCGTTTCCAGGTTCCACGGCGAGGCTGACAGCTCCACAGATGAACGTTCCGCCGCTCCCAAGGAAACACCTTCGTCGACAGGCCTGCGTCCGGGTACCGCAGCGTTCAGTGCCCCAGCATCCGGCGTGGGGTTCGCGTCCCCTTCGAAAACTACAGAGCTGCGGCCACCGCTAACGGGACAACGTCCGCACGGCCACAAGGCTTCGTAGTCCCCAAGGTCGAGGAGGAGAGCCACGACGCTATCCTGCACAGCAGTCCTCCAGCCCTGAAGCGACCGTCGCAGGAGTCTCCTCGACGCGGCCTCTTCCCTCCTCCCAGCGCCTCGTACGCGTTTGCGAAGAGCTCCCGCTCAAGTCCGTCGCCCTCGCGCGCGAGCCACGGGTCCTCTGCGTCGTCGATGTTCTCGGCCAGGAGCTCGGCGACGAGCATGTCCAGCATCAGCACGACGGCGTCGGACGTGGGTACGCTGATGCGCGAGGTGTGGGACGTGCGTCGGGAGATGGCGGCGCTGCGTGCGCGGGAAGCGGCGCTGGTGCAGCGGCTGGAGCAGGGAAACGCGCGCCGGGAGAGGTGCCTCTGCGTGCGCGGGAGCGGCCATGGACGTCTGAGGGACGTTCGGAGGGGAAGGATGAGGTGGAAGGTGTGTCTTACATCCGCGACGTTGGGGCTCAGCTTGCTTATGTTCCTCGCGTGAAGCACTCCGTGCAGAGCTGAGGGCGGAGACCGATGCACGGCGCGTGGCAGAGGCGTCGCTGTATGCAGAGCGGCGGCAGCGGGAGTTCGCAGAGCGCGTCGTGGCAGATGCGCGGCGGGAGTGCGCGACGCCGTTCGTCGTCCCTGCGCTTATGGATGCGCTCATCCAGATAGCGGAGCTCAGTGACAGTGCACTTTTCGGGGCCAGTGTAGTAGGTAACGTCGTCGCTAAAACAATGCAATGAGGATGATTCACGAGTAATGATGGTTGATTGAGATGAAATTATGCAGCATCGTGCGTCATCTTCATACATGCTATCGTCTTCATGGCCCGTGTTCGGCGATGATATACTCACACAGCGCAGCATACAGGTGGAAAGCGCGATAGTGGTACACGCGGTAGGCACACACATGCATATCATGCGGCGAGATGATCAAGGGAATCGTCGTCAAGTGGTGCATCCTGCATACTTCCACCGCAATGGTGCACACCTGTCTACTTGCACTGGTCTGCGATGCTAAGCAGAATGGTTCTTAGGTACATCTGGGAGGCGCAGAGTTCGCGGGCCTTCTTCTCTCCCAAACCTAAGGTTTGCAGCGTCGACGTGACAGCCATCCTCGCGGATCGGCTCATCGTGGGTTCTGCTTACGGTGGCACGATGCCCTCAGCCAGCCTGGGCGTGACATGGCCGGTGGCTCCCGAGTCTCAGGCTTCAGGTTTGACTGTGCGAGCGCGTCACACGTTGACACTGCGTGTTGTGTCGTTCTGACTATACGTGTCGGAACAAACGATGTTCGACCAGCCTCATACATAATAGATGCCTGTGTAGCCACGTCACCCGAGTCACCTCCTGATGTCAACGATTTGCAACTGCCTCTGCCCATGCGCGACGCGTTCGGCTCCTGCCTCCTGCTGATGTTTCTGGTAGGTCATGTTCTCTCATACGACGAGGACGCGAGGTCATATTGGATGTCTCGCTTGCGGTCCCATATATTTGAGTAGTTCTCCTGTCAATCACCATCGAAATGAGACATGACTTCTGCCTCGGATGTGAACACTAACTCACGTCTCATTCCCAGAAATGTAGGAGACATACTATACCACGTTCATCCCATGGTCTGAAGAACCTCCGGGAGTGAGTGGCAAACTCTTGGGCAATGCCGTCCACCGTCGGCGCCGAGGCACACAAGCTGTCTGGAATGACCTTTATATTCCATTGTACCTTGACTTTGAGTAGCGCATTGAAGCAGGGTCGAGTCATGACACTGTGTAGTTCTTCCAAGTCAAGCTCCTCTATAGCTTGGTGGTATCCGTTGTCGCAGTCCCCCGCGACTTCGACACAGCCACTGAGCGTGATTTGCTCTAGCGATTGACCCCGCACAGTCGATAGAGTGGTGCATAAGTCTTCCGCGACCCACCGTAGGCAGCCCTCCCGAAACTGATATTCTCGGACATCATCGGCATTGATATCGACGTAGAAGGATCGCAACGCTGTGTTGTGCTCAAAGGACGTTAACACACTTGTTCCGACCTATCATGTGCTAGTATCAGCTGCGTAATTCAAGCCAGGAGAAGATGGCTTGACCTACGCTGCGAGCGCAAGTAAGAGATGGGCCAGCTGCCCTAAGCAAATGGTCCACCCCCTCGCTGCGCGCCTTAGGGTCCTCACAATGTCTGCAATAGTTCCCCACTTGGTGACGTCTCAAGGCATCCCGCCAATAGAGGAGGTTGCCGCACCGCTTGCAGGCACATTGGTAATAGCGGAGATGGACTGCAGCGACATGCCGCGCGTATTGATGAGCGCTCTGGGTCTGTTTCCCACAGGTCGTTGAGTTCTGGTGGTCGCTCCAGCGGCACATCGTGTGACTATGGCCCAGCGACTGTCCAGAGTTGTTACATGGAGGCATGTCTGCGGCATGGTCTTGCTGAAGGTGTCGCTTGATCCCTGCGGCACTCTGGTCGTCGAGGGGTGCATCGCAGTTGGCCCACCTGCACCTGCGAACGGGATCAGAGCGGAGCACAAGACATACACTGTGACAACAAAGACGCTACCAAAAAACCATGACGGACGTACCGATCAGGGGGTGCGTCACGATGCCGGATCGTCAGTTCGCGCAGACCAGAACAGACGCACGAGCGCACGAGCCAGTCGACGACGACGATGAATGAATCTTCACAGAAATCCGATTCGATGATGAGATGCCGAAGTTGAGGGATTGACATTAGATGATGTTGCTTGATGTCCGCGTCGCTCGCGTAGCGCAGTTGAGCAAATCGACCGCCGCGTAAAATAAGATCTTCGAGCTGAGGAAAGGCGCAGATGATACGCCGTAGCTCGGAGATATTGTGCAAATGGAAGGCAGACAAGTGCAGTGACTTCACTGTCTTGAACATGGGAAGGGTGATGAAGAACAACGACGGCATAGCAAGACGTAGGCCCCGTCAATCTGCAAAGTCTGCAGACCAGTCATCGCAGTACAGAAGACGGGTGGTAGTGCGTGGAGGAAGTGGTTACAAGCATCTCGGTTTGCTTCCGAAGGCGTTTTGGGAAAGGCGCGATCAGAGACGACCAGACGGCATGTGGTTGCGAGGCGACACTTGACACGTGCAGACGTGTGCAATTGCTCTGCCAACATGGTGAAGCTCTCGCGGCTGCAGAGCTCGACGGTGGAGTAAAGGAGGTTGATGGTCATGCCATGCCATGCACGGCAGACTGAGATGACGGCGGGCAGCGTGGAGTATGGCACCCAAGCAATGATTTCCTCGAACAACTCGATCGGAAGGAGACGAAAAGGCGTTGACGGTATAACAGGAGCGTGTTGACGATGATGCCTCGTTTGTGAACCTCGAGAGTCCTGGTACGCGCACACGTCAGCCCGGGTCAAGCAATGCGCCGGGGCGAATGATGGACGTACTATTGGTAATGAGGGTCCTGACATCGTCGGAAAGGGAGCTGTGGAGGAGGTTCGCTAGACGAGGTGGACAGTGACGGAGAGAAACTCACCCTGGGAAGTAGAGGCATGTCTTTTGAGGAGATCGATGCGGCGTATCCTAGGGGAGACATCTGCGAGGCAATGCAGGGCGATGCACAGCCCAAGTTTATTTAACCGCCGGTTACTGGTGGCTTGCTCATTTCGGAGCATCGCCAGTAGTGCGGCACCACATAGCTGTGCCTTCTAACACATGCCACCGGTATGTGTATGGAGCTTCTAACGAGTTGTTCCGTACCTTGTCCGCAGAGGTCGTAAACACGCAAGCGCCTGCCGTTGGTATAACCGACCGTCGTAGTTTGGCCCGTAGAGTACAAGGCAAAATCGCCACAATCGCTGAGGAATGACATTGCGACCATCCATTCAGATACCACGGAGTTTGGCTCCGTGTCCGTCGCAAGACGGCCGACATCAAGCCAGGCCTTCATACATATCTCAGTTCCGTCGAGAACGATGACCTTTAAGCGCTCCGGAGCCGCGATAGCCATGTTTAAACAAATTGTATGTCACTCAAGGGAATCGCACTCACAATTCTGGGCTACGAACAATATCCTCTGGCACAATGTGTTCAGGGCTTGAAGTTGTCATTGCATGACGTCGCCATGCGAGAAATTTGGCCTGGATGAGCCACGAGTTCGGACACTCCTTCTAATACCTAGGGATCATTGGGAGACGGCGTATCAGTACCGGCGTCCGAGTCGACGCCGTTACCGCCGCGACACGAAACAGACGTGACGCACCTCCCTCGGTTCATTCAGGTCGTAGTTACATTGCAAGATTCCTGCTCTGGTGCTCAACGACCCAAGCCCAGGACGTCTATACCACAATACACGTTAGAGCGGCACTACTCAGAGGAAGAAAAGCTTACCGCGCTCTTTGTACCACCCGTTCGAGAAGCGCCATCACATTCTGGTTGCTGCGTGGAAACTGGGGTCTGACGTCCTGAACCGCGCCCTGGCCAGGCGATGCGTAGCTACATGCGTCGCCCGGTGCATTCCAGCGGTCATCTCGAGGATAGCCAGGCACACTCGCACATCGGGTGTATAAACACGGCCTCAGCGAAGTCAGCGATAATACTGAGGGCAGGATATCCCCGCTGCTGTCCTTAGGCGCCTTCTGCATCGCGTTACTGAGACGTTGTTCTATACCACAACCCTCAGGAGCAACCTGCGTCACGGTATCAGTCCCGATCTGAAATGCTGCCCCGATGTACGTACCGGCACGAAGACGCCCTAGAGCAAGGCGCAAGGTTTGTGAATCGCGCACACGCGCACACAGGCCTTCACACGAGAGGTGAATGGGCGATACGCCGGTGGACGCTGGGAAGGCAGATTTCGCATGCTGGTGGCAGGACGAGATGTCAGGCACATGAAGTGGATGCTGACGTCGACACGCGCGTGCCTCAGCATGCACCATCTGATCATTGACAGTCAGCTTTCTCCTCGATGAGAACGTACTCAACTTCCGGATAACATGCATCTACTTCGGACCGTGCAGCTATCAAGCACTGCCCTTAGAGTGTCACCCTGCCCGAAGTTGAGGACACGACCAATCGGACGGCATGAGGCGGTACCACAGCTTATAATCTGAATACAACAGTACATATGATCTTACACTGCCCAACGATGTACCTCTATTCTGGGTCAGCATCGATAAACGGAACTTAGAGTTTACGTAAACGGTTGCGTACCGTTGCTGTAGAAGGCATTGAAGACATGTAAACCTATCCCTTTGACCGGCGTCACCGTGCGCATACAGTAACTCGGTTGGACGTGCCCTTCCACCTGAAATACAAGCCGCGTCAGCGTGCAAGAGGCGGCGGTCTTCATGTGATGAAGTTATGATCAATAGCAGATGAACGAACAGACACAGCTCAAAGCTAGATGAGTTCGTCTTGACCGCTCTCCGAGAAAAAGGCCAATTGCATCGTACCTATTGAACTGCATTGCCGATGAGTTGCGTGCTACCTGCCGACCGAAACTACGCCATCGCTGAGTTCCGCGATTTTGATGAGCGCATCCATGAGCGCAGGCACGACGAACGGCACTGCGTACTCTCGCCGCGCATCCGCCACGACGCGCTCCGCGAACTGGCGCTGCCGCTGCTCAGCTTTCAGCGCCCTCTCCGCTGCATGTCGCGCCTCGGTTTCTGCCTCCAACTGAGCGCGGAGAGCTTCTCACCGAGATGAGTGCGCTGGACCAAGTCTTCATGAGAAGTAAAACATACCTGCGATCTCGCCGTCCACCGACGGTGGCCCATGCGCCTCCGGTGTCCAAGGCCGTTCCCGTCTCAGCGGCTCCGCTTGCAGGTCCGGGTTCTTCGCCCGTTCGAGTCGCTGCATCAACGATGCCTCCCTCCCACGCAACGCCGCAATCTCCCTACGCACGTCCCAAACCTCGCGTGTCAAAGCCCCCACGTCCGACGTCGTGATGCTACGAGTCGTCGCTGACGAGAAGACAGAGGGTGTGGGGGAGGACCCATGGCTAGCGCTGGGGCGGGAGGGGTTGCGAGGGGTTGCAGGAGATGGGAAGGTGCTTCGATGGGGCGAGTCGATAGTAGCCTGAGGTGGCCTCGGATCTGAAAGGGCGCCACCGAGAATAGCCTCGTGGCTCTCTTCCTCCACCTTGGGGACAACGTCGTCCTGTGACCGTGCAGATGGACCCCATCTCCGGGTTGACGGTGGAGTGCTTGTCGCTGCGGGAAGCTCAATTGTATAAGAGGATGTTGATGCTGCGTACTCCGAGCTGGATGCCTTAGTCGAGCTTGCTGCGGAGCCTGGTGGGTCTCTCATATGCGACGACCATGGACGCGACTGCGTCGTGCTCGGATGCGATGACGGTAATCGGGCGAAAGGCGAAGCCGCATGTCTTGCAATGAATGTCGATTTCGGCATGGACGGCGCTTTCCCTGAGGAAGACGCCACTGGTGCGCGCACGAACGACTTCGAAGCCTTACTCCCTTTCCATTTGGGTGTAGCAGGCGGGAAGGCAAACACGCTGTGCTTGTTACTGCGGGTGATAGCGTCAGTGCTGAGTTTCGAACCGAGGAATCGTAAACATACCCTTCCTGGAACTCAAGACACACGCTGGCAACAAAGGTGTACATGAGCGGCATGAGCAGCGCGATAATGTCAGTTGGGCTTACATCAGTAAATCAATAAGAGGGGACGGGTACTTTCGCACGTCATAGAACACCTGCGATATCTGCCGGTGCAATGCCTGCAAATGTCTCAGAGTCAGACGACCCGCACCCCGCACAAGGAGGACGTACAGTTCCATCCTCCACATACCACCTGCATCGCACGCGGCCGGTACGGTATGCCTTCAAGAGGCACTCGTGCGGCATCGGAAGCCCGAGCGTCCGCAGATCGTCCCCCACGAACCCCGAGAGGTACTTGTCTACGTCCGTTCCGTACGCGAAGCATAGGTGGGCCTTGGCTGCTCTGTATGACATCGTCAGCGAGATTGCCATCACGAATGCGTAGTCCTGTTTTCGACAGAAAAAAGTGAAGGCCGTATGACCGTCGTCCAAGAGAGAAATGCTGGAGAAATGCAATAAAGGGGGCTGACGGCAAACCCCGATTTTTTCATCGAGATCGAGATCTGAATCCGCGTCGATGTGGATTGAAGAACATATGTAGTAAGTGCTTCCTCGCGAAGGCAGTCAGAAGGTGCGTCGAGGAAGCAGAGACTTGCTCTTGCTAGTGGAGGAGCGAAGAGAGCAGACTCGGAGCGCTCAGTCTCGTATGTACCGACTCAGATCTGATCTCGCGAGCGCCCAACTTACTACGACGTACTGGCAGGTCCAGACCCGCCACCTTCACTTCGACCAAACGGAGGTCAGTGCATATGTACTATTGCTATGTATGTGACAAACGTACACCATAAATGTTATATTTCCTTGACAGCTCAGTGTTCTTTGCTGACTAGAGCCGCCGTAGAAGTGTAACGGGATGTCACCATCCAAGGCCGTTCACAGCCACCAGTAGTACTATCATACTACTCAAGCCTGACTATGTACATGTAAGCAGTACGATCGTAACCGCTATTTCTTCAGCCCCTATAATCAATACATACAATCGAAAACACAACATCAAAGTCCACAGGCAAACGATTTGACACTAACCAGTACACCGAAGACGAGTCCTATCATCAGCCGCTCTGCAATCTCACAATACGTTTATGCCAGAGTAGCTGCACACCCCAAGGACAGCAGCTCCGATCAGAGCCGCGAGAGCTGCGCGCCGGAGGTACGTGCGTGCGGTGATACGGCGCGCACCGACGATACCCGCTGCATCGATAGCCGCAATGTCCTCGTTCGTCAGCTCTGTAAATGAGAGCTTTTAGCACGCTTTCCATGGAGCACCTGACTACTAACCGAGATCGCCCGCTGCCAAGTAGCCCTCGAGGCGCTCCTTCCTTGTACTAGCGCTAACGCAGGGGAGAATGTCAGTGGATGATCGGAACGGTGTGGCGACAACAGAACGTACGTGACGACGACGACACCCTTCGCCTTGGCCCATGCGAGGAGGACCTGCTCAGACTCCGCGTTGAGTCGAGAAGCGATTTCCTTCAGCGGCTTGTCTACCGGGCCGCCAGTATGGTGAGTGAGCGGGCTGCACAAGGCAATGGAGTCAGCGAAGGAGTTGATCGCACTCGCAGTGCTGAACGCACGTCAGCACGCTGTACGCCTCGCTCACTATCCCATTGAGTTTCCCGAACTCGACAATGGGCGCCTGCGACGCAAGGACATAGGGATGGAACAGTATCTAGATCAATGGAGTTGCAGTCAGAAATCCGAAGAAACGCGTCCGGCGAATGAGATAACTGACCTGGTTAGCGACAGGCTTGATTTTGGCAGAGTCGAGGAGCGTCTGTAGCTGCAGAACGTTGAAGTTGCTAACGCCGATGCTCCTGGATGGCCAGTGAGCATGAACACAACCCGCACGGCCTATGGAACGGGCTCACTTCACCAGTCCGTCAGTCTGCAATTTCTCCATCTTGGACCACGCAGTGGGGATGTCCGGCACGGCCAGGCGCGGGTGGTGGATCAGGTAGAGATTCACGTAGTCGACGCCCAGCTAACTCCCTTCGTTCGTGAGACGCCCATGCAACAACGTCCACGCATGACTCACGTTATTCAGGCTGTTGTGAATGGAGGTCTCGATGTCCAGCCCGTTCAGTCCTGAGTATTTCGTCGTGATATAGAGGTCCTCGCGCGCAAGCCCGCTCTCGTGGATGGCGATGCCGGCCTCGTACTCATTCCTGTACGACTGCGCCGTGTCTGTCGTGCAACGTTAAGTGGCGACCGAGGCCCGAGGACGACAAGAACACACCAATGTGGCTGAACCCAACCGAGATGGCCTGGTCGACCTTATCGGTCGACTGCTGTCCGCCGCCCAACGTCCAGGTCCCAAATGCGACGCCAGGGATGCTCGTCCCTGTCCGTGCGACCATCGCACAGAGCACGCAGTGTTCGAATCCAAGACGAGGAGGCGTGCATTCATAATCAGCTCGACGCCTTACACATACGTGATGCATGCTTACCGTTGTTGAGCTTGATAAGGTCCCAAGGCATTTTGAAGGTCGTTGCAAGGAGAACTGCGGGTGGAGGGAGGAGGCACGGAGTGAGTGCGCCGACAAGGGACGACGTCGCACCGAGGGTGGTGCATGGGAACGTTCCTACGCTCAAATATAACTCGGACCGGCGCGAATTTGCAAGATGAGCTCAAGCTGGTCAACTTATCGCCATGATGATGCCGCGCTGCGGCGCGCCGCTCCTTTCCGCGACGCGGTCACGTGAGACGCGTCACTAACCGCGACGGGGGTTCAGAACGTTGAACATAATATGAGTGCGGAATCACGCATAAATCTGCCTAGAGACCTATATACAGCAGGAAAACAGATCAAAAGGCGCATCGCAATGGAGTCTACACAGAACAAGCGAATTGGACAGACCGCCGGAGCAACACATCAGCTGGTAGTACGAGGAGCCACCTCAGAGTGCCGCGCCTTCCGTGCAATCCTCGAGACAGGGATCGCGGGGGATACCTTCCTGAGAGAAGACGTGACAGGCCGAACAGGCTCGGAGACGCGTGGCTTGAAGACAGTTCTCAGCTTCGAAGGCCCATGTGCGACGCCGGATGTCCTAGGCGTCTGTACCGGTGTAGGAAGAGCTAGAGCCTTCGGAGCGGCGCGAGCAGGGGACTTCTCAATAGACGCGTTCGGGACGTTCGGCTTAACAGCGGCAATAGACCTGGTTCCAGAAACGCCAGGAGTCCTCATGGTCGGTCTCGTAGAGGTCTTGGGCGTGGTAGGAGTAGCACTGGCAGACGGTAGACGAGAAGCCGCCAATGTCTTCGGGGTGCAGCTTGGATCGCTGAAGGCCCTTCGAGGAGCAGCTGGGATTTGAGACCTCGCCGGAGTGAGGGGTGAAGAGACGGCGCGTCCCAGAGGCATGCGGGCGACGCGCGGCAGCTTCGTCGGTGATGCAGCAGGAGTTGCCTTGGACATCAACTGCAATTTGTTGGCGGCATCGTCACTCGCTTGAGGATCCCGTTGTTCGCTATGGGGGCTGGCATTCGGCACCGCGATGTCCTGGACCGTGTGGGATTTCCCGGTGTCCTGCAAAGGCTGCATCTCGATCGATGACGCGGGAACAGGGCGTTGCGGCGAGGCTGGCACAGGAAGATCTTTGATCAGTTCGGCGACCGCTTCCAGTTCTTTGAGAGTATCAAGCATATCCTTCGGCAACCCGACGACGCAATCCTCTTCCTCTGGCTCTTGAGGGACGACCTTGATGACGGGGTTGAAGACGTCTCCTTCATGAGTTTCAAGTCTAGGATCATCGATCACAGCCGCCTCCCGAGAACTCGACAGGACCCTAGCAGCCACACCAGATTCGCCACCCTTGCTCGTGCCTGCCTTCCTCGCGTCCTGACCACGACGACCATGCCAGATCGAATACTTGGACGCGAAGCTAGCCATCGAGTTTGAGTTCCCAAGCGCGATGAACGACGGCGTCGCGAGCATCAGTGATTCCTTTGCCGGCGCCGCGCTCGAATGCGCCGCAGCTCTCAGCCACCCCTTTCTTCCCTTCCTCTCCTTCGCAGTATGCAGGTCCGGATTCGCACCGCCGAGGAGAGTAACCGCCCCGTCGCCAGCGTGGACAGCGACGAACGATGGCGTAGGTGCGAGGAGGCACGGGCCCGTTAACCCCGGAGAAGGGATGCAGACTGACGCGGAGTTACGGACGCAGCTGGCTGGCCCTGTTGACACGGCAGAGGGTGCGTCGTTGAGGTGGACGGAAGGGACGAGCGATACGAGCGGTGCTGGCTCGGTAGGCGACGAGTCTGTCTGCGGAGCTTGGCGATGCGTGGAGAAATGGAAGACCTTCCTGGGAGACTTGGGGATCGACTGCCGGCGAGCGTGCGTGAGGGCAGGGTCATGAGTCGGTTGGTTTTCAGTGTCAGGTTCGGAAGCGACTCTTGGAGTGAATGGAGGTCGTTGTGGGACCCCAGCGGGCAAGGCAGTGTCCTTCTTGGTCTTGTAGGGGAAGCTGATAGCTGTCGAGGGGAGCTTCGAGGGGCTGACACAGCCGTTGACGGCCTCAGTAAATATCCTTCGCGAAGGGTCTTCTTGTGCGGCGTATTGTTCCTTGTTTGGTGTACTCGGAGGAGCGGAGCAGTGTGCAGGCGAGAGCTGAGGCCCTCCTGTACTGCGGCGAGGCGCAGGTATCCGTGAGGGCGAAGTCATAGCAGGGGAAAGCAAAACAGAAGCTACGTGAAAGCTGAATGGAAGAAGGAGCGAGAGAACAGGCACGACGGGTCGATGATGTACATACCTTTCAAAGTGGACCGGTCAGCCGCCATGCACGAGCCGAGCCTCGCTTCAACGCACGACAGTCAGCCGCAGAAACAAGGTCAGAAAAGGTGGAAGACTGGGGTCACAGGCATAGTGATTGCATACCTTAATAGCGATCGAAATGCAAGCTATATGTGGTCGGCAAGGATAAGGGTCTGGAGCGTTCGCGGTCACTACGCACGCCCCGTTGCACTTCAATGCGATGGATCACATAGTAGCATTCTTAACCGTTTACAGAACAGTGAGCACGCATATGCTTCTGACATGGGGAGAAGCGAGAATATGTTCGAGGCAGAACTGGTTGTTCGAGAACGCGGAGCGCAACTACCCCCACCCGGCCTACGTTGATACAAACAGCTTAGCTAGTTGTCTGAACCTCAACTCACCTTGAGGTGCTCCATGGCACCGGATGGCCAATGTCAAGAAGACTCCCTGTATTCCCTGTCCAGCCAAGTCTCCTCGAGTCTCTTGATCATGGGCAACGGGTGCGGGGCTTTGCGCTACGACCAAGCGGCGAAGGTAGGGACTCTGAGTCTACGACGGCTGGCGCAATCATTCAGCATCTTAGGCCCGGGAAGTGACGGATGAGCGCAGGAAAGAAGACGGCGAGCTATGCAAACCTTGCGCATGCAATGATATCGACGAAGAGGAAGAGGAGGACACACATTGAACTTGCGAATTCACGCGTGAACGACGCCGGCGCGTACTCGGCGCGTCCAACCACGTTATGTCACAGATAATGATGTGACACAGTGTAACGCGCTCCCGCTGACACCATGATGCTGACATGGACAGTGAAGGTTCGAATTGAGACTCGACAGCTCGGCCGTGTTACAATCAGCATGGAATCCATGCCAAATGTCTATGTACGGCCGGTAGGTGTACCCATGAGGATAGACTTCATTGGCTATCCAGCACTACGGACCGCCTGGCGAGTGGTGAACTCCAGCGTGACTCGGAGACCCGTTACCAACATCGGCGGAATCTAGTACTGTCAAACTGTCGTAATTGAGACTGAGGCATGCATATATGGCTTCGTGAGGAAAAAAGTCGCTCTCGATCGATTTGTGACTTTTACTAGTGAAACTTTTAGTACGACGGTACGAAAAGTGTGGCAACATACCCCGCAACCTGACTCAAACTTGATTGCTGTCATGAAACACTTTAGTCTGTTCCATGGCCGCAACCAAGGTCATGGTGAAAGCATGCCAGATCACAGTCGTTGAAGTAAACCATCGCATTGGCTAGTCGCAGATGTCACCCGCTGCGCATTCGCGTTGTGGGGCCTGGGCGTCCAGCGCTGCGTCACGTGCCTTCATCGCAAGCGTTACGGAAAGGTTTGACGGTCGACCGGCGACGTTATGATAAGTTACTACGTGACAGTCGTGTTTCCCGTCGCCCTCCTCAGTCTCCTCTTGCTGGTTGACTTGTCACTTGTGGTCGACTCTTCATCGCGATAGCTTCGCGCTTCAGCTGCCTGCCACATTTCTTGCAGTGTACAAGACCAGTTTACGCATTTATTCACACCATTGCTCGCCTTCCGACGGAAAACATTTCCTGTGAGTCATGGTCCTGTCCCCGGGCCAACGCACTGACGAACTCAAATGATTGGCTCGCCGAAGACCAAGGACAACTAGCTGCATGAATGAGCTTGATGAAGGCTTCTGTTGCGAATTGTGCTGTTGCTTATTCCAATCGCGGGAAAGGGACCGTGTACATAGGACTGCAGAAACGACGCGGAGCGACTTGTTGGCGACTTCTGCACGGACATACTCGGACGCAATTGGGTGCATCATGCAATCAGTACAGAGACGCTGACCGGGATAACAGAATGCCCAATCCATTAACTCATCCTTCGCCTTCACATCGTCCGCGCACTGCGTACAGCAGTACCATATGGGCACCAGCGTCGTCATATACTCGTACACCGCGACCGACATGCTGTACCTTGCTGTACGTGTCAAGAGCTCACAGCACGTGATTTCTCTCTAGCCACGCGAAATGCAAACTTGAAGTCGCGTGCGTTGTCCGCCGTTGAGGTCCTTGAGGACGTTGAGGGCCCTGCGGGTGTAGATATCGTGCACAGTGTTTTGATCACCGTGATAATCTCGTCGCAAAACCCAGCTCGGGCTTGGTCGCGCCTTCTGCGAGTTTGGAGGGCGCAGACAAGCAGCGGATCCTGCGGTGTTCGATGATCCGGTGCGTTTTTTATGACTAGGTCAGTTTGAGAACCATATTGGCAGCGAAGTTCATGGCTGCGGCTCGCTGTTATTACGCAGCATACACAGACATCGGACTGACAAAGAGCGAAGTGAGATTTGTGGATACTTTGTTGACAATCTACCACTCGGTGGGCGTTCATTGTCGAGATGTACGTGACAATGCTGTATGACACAATATTCTATGTTGACTCGCCGACTGCATATTCCGCGCCGGCTTTACGCTGAGACCGATTAATGCGATAACAAGGGCCCGGAAAAGAGACCGCGTAGGCACGTGAACCCTGATGCAGATGCACCAGTTGTTGGCGACTTCTTTACGAACATACTCGGACGCAATCAAATCGGAGTCGAATCTTACGGTGCGTGTAGACGCTGGCACGCTGCTCATCAAGATTACATACGATCAGGCAAGTTAAGCAGTATATTGCCCTGTCCATGGCCATCAATTCACCCCTTCACCTCCTCATCCCTACAGCAGTACTTGCCATGTTCGCCGTTGCTACACGCGCCTCGCGATGTGTCCAATGTGCGTAGAGTTGATGCCACGTGATCTACCCTTGGCCCCACGAAATGCAACATCGCGCGTGGTTTCCACTGTCAAAGACTACGGAGGTAGATCTCGTGCAAATGTGTTTGATCTTTACGAGTATCCAGTCCCGGCACCTGGCCCGGGTTTGATTGCGCCTTCTCAACACCGCGGGTTCGGAGGGCGCAGGCAAGCACCGGATTCCACGGTATACGGTGACGCGATTCGTTTTTGACACTTGGAGTTGGGCATCATAACGAATCACGATGAGGGTACTGTCATATACTACACGACACATTTCCTGCTCCCCCTCACCTCGTGATGCCAAAACTAAACTCAGGCTAGGTCTTCAAGTTGAGCTGAGCTTGAGATGACTTGCTCACTGCGGCTCACTGGCTCATACAAAGCATAGATTCGCACCTCGCTGGCAAAGAGTGGACCAAGTTCCATATTTGCTTTTTACTACTCGAGCGCTGAAGGATCTCTGGGATGTACGCGGTTGCCCATACTATTAACGGTTTGCTCGGCAACTGCATTTCACGCTAGCTTTGTATGCAGCCTCGGTGCTTCGCAGACGGAGTAACCCTCTTTTTTCATCTTTCTGCAAGCGATATCGAGCCGACTCGGAGTCCTCAGTTGGGCGGGCAACTGAGGAGGAGGTTACGGTTGGTCACGGACACATCAATTTCCGCGTGACGCCATCGTAACGCTGCTGCCGTGGTTCAACTTCTCTCCTCCTACCCTCTCCTCCTAGTTTCTACCCGAACTTCTACTCCAGCTGCACCGGTGCAGCCTGTCGTGATTCCTCCGCTTACCTTATTCTCGAAGTAATCCCTATCTGTGATTCCAACGTGGCTTTGAATAGGAATGTCTGCTCGCTCGAGATCATTCTTACCGTTCGCAGCCACGATCTATTACGATACTACTCAAGGCGGACACAAGATGAATTCGTTTATAAAGAACAAGGAGGAAACTTGCGCATACTACTCCCACTTTATGGTATCAAGACTTCAAACAGCTGGGTATTCCGGCACCCTCGTACACGATCCTCCAAAGTTGGCAGAGCGGGGCGGTGTTGTGCTACTGGGATTTGCAACTAGGGGTGAGTCCCTCATCCATGTCACTACGCCCATTAATCCCTAGCTTAGGAGGATGTGGTCGCCAATGCACGGAAGAAAGTGCAGGACATCATAACACTCGGTTCTTACCGGAAGCATCAGATGTACGTAAATCAATAAGTCATACTGCGTCGACTGACAGGAGATTGTCACTATTCTGTCAGCGCGGAGATCAAGGTGTTGAGTCCGTAAGCCGCTCATGTTTTGACCTTCGGATACAAGTGACATCTTTGCCATTACGTCGCACAGTAACAGATGGCTCATCTCGCCGTCGAACTCACGTACTGAATATGACTCCTCCGGCGCCGCGGACGCACTCCCTACGTCCCACAAGAGGGCACTTTCCACCTCGGCTGATACGCTACCTGCCGAACTGAAACGACGTCGCGTCAGCGGCTACATCGACGGGAAACTGCAAAACTGGGTCTCACGGGCATCCGCCGTCACTGCGATCACCCACACCACCGTCAGGTCCGAGGACTTCTTTTCGGGTTCATCCCATCGGCGAGCTCGATCTCTACAGTCTGGCAGTCTTGGCCGCGCGGAATCGATCACGGGAGGCAGCCTCTCTGTTGTCTACGAGGGCGATAACATCAACCCTCCCTCGGGCGGTTCTATGTCTCGCTCTGTAGCTTCTAGGCATCTGAATCACCTTGGTCTCGCAACTGATGATGCTATGTCTTCGACTGGCCAGCCTGGGGATCGCTCAGCCACGGCAGCCGGCGGCCTGCCGTCTGCCAAATCTCATTCTGCCAACGCCATTGTTCCTGCTTCAGCCTCGCCTCAGGCTCCCGACAACGACTCTGATGTCTCGTATATGGGATCTCAACTGTTTGACGTCTCCGCTGCTTTGGCCTTTAGCACTCTATCTGCCCCTTTGCTCATTGACTCCGAAGACTTGGTCAGTGGCGTGCCAGCGATTCTGCCTTCAATCAAGCAACACCGCAACAGGAAGTGCCGAGGACTCGGACGACCAACGCTTGCAAGACTTGAACACCGCCCTCGTGAATCGAGTCAATGACAACTCCATACAGATCATCGCGCTTCTGGCGGAGAAAAGGGGCACTGTGAGCAAGGTCAGAGGTGAGCAGTCATGAGCATTCACTCCGTGCAAGGGCATAGCTGAGTCCGGAGATTGACATGGTCAATTTTAAGGGCTAGACCTATGCATCCAGGTACATGACCAGGAGATTACGAGCTTGACACAGAATCTTGATGGTATGTAGCTGTCTGCCTAGCCCGAAAGCTTCGTAACAATCCTGATCACTGAAAATCAGCATGCAACGAGAAGATTGGGCATCTCCAGACATCGCTGGACAGTATAACAGCGGAGTGTAGATGTAGGTCGTCGATGCAGAGATGCTGTTGAACCTGCACTGATATCTGGAAGATCTGCGAACACGGCAACTTCATGGCTCGGTCGAAGGACCCGCTTCTGCCGGCGAACACGATGCACCCGCCTCTCAGGCTTCAAGTTAGTGCAGTCAGGCACGACTACGACTGTCATCCTCAACTTGGACGGCTCCACGACCTCTTCACAGACTATTTTCACAGACCATCTATATTGCACTACAATCCTTGTGTCGCATCAGTCATTATGTATCATCGAATATAGCAATGTGAACCACGAATGTATTATTCAATACGCTCACACAGAGTTGTTCCGAGCGATCAATGAACAATTTAGATCTGAAGATCGGAGGCGTCGTAGTCTAGGGTACAAGAAGATACGATGTCGACAGCACCGAAACCTCTCGTATTTGGGCTGCGATGTCTACCGCCGCAAAAGACCCAGATCCCGCTCAACAGCGCGGATACTGTGCAGCATCCGCGTTTCATCTGCAATATTGCTCGCATGTATCGCGCGGAAGCCTTGGACAGCATCATATCAGTTTATCGTTTCGAATGCAGCAGAAAGAGAGGGGCGTACGGCTATTCTCCTCCCTCAAGCAACGCAAGCGGTCACGCGTGTCGTTGATCCCACGGAGCCAGTCTTCGAGCAGCCTTTGTCAACTCGGGGAAAACAAGGAATGTTCATGACGTACGTGTACAATCTTTGACGAGCTGCAGCTCGCCTAGTTCGGACTTCCTGATCTCCCGTTGCAGGTTCGCTTCCGCTGTGTCCTCCAATTCACCGCGATGGGATGGCTCGACCTTGTGGATGGCATGCTCCGGCTGTGTGCTGTCGTACCCGACGAGAGTCCCCGTGGACTGTTGCAATACAACCTCTTCCTCCATTTGCTCGGTCTTGACCGGCACGGGCGACTGCGTGGTGGGTTGGAATCCACGGCGGATACTTCCGGCGTCCATAGAGTCCGCCTGAGCGTGTCCGAGCTCCGCAGAGATGCTGTGGAAGGCGGTCGCAGCATCGACTTCGACTTTGATGGGCCTTCCTGCCATCATGTTAAGGGAGCCGTTGCCTGGCGCAGGGACATTGAGGGTACGTGTCTTGTCAGCTAGGGCTTCGTTGCGCGCGGCCTGCACATCTGAAGGATGTCCGGGATTGGCGGTAGACAGTCCCCTGACGAGAAGCTCGGCTGACTTCGAAACAGTAGCATTGGCGTCAGGAGTCCGAGGTACACGAGACGCAGGTAGGCTGAGTCGTGAGATGCACGTCAGTACTACTGGCAGGATGCTGATGCGTAGACCAACTTACCTTGCGTGTGGTACCACTTGAATTCGCGCGCTGTGTAACAAGGATTGTTGAGTATGATGTTAAACCGGGCGCCTGATCATGAGACTTCTTACGCAGTACGCGTAGGAAATGCGCGAGAATACATTCACAGTTCCACGCCGTAGCCAAAGCCGACAGGACATACGCGATATGGTCAGCCGCAGAGCCACTGGTGCTATGAGACAGCCATAACGGAATAAAAACATAGATGTCCATTCATCGGGACCTCCGCGTTCTGCCATGACGGTTGAAAACTACTCACATGTTCAAAACCTGAAGGAGTGCGGGATCCTTGCGCACTGCTTGGGTCCTTGACCGTAGATGTTTGATGACCCGTAACTAGCGGTTCAGAACGTCAGTCACCAATCTGCTCGATTGTGCGTAAGGTCGAATGAACCTACCCCATCGTCACCCTTCGACTTCCAGTAGCACATGAGTCGAGCGTGCTCCCAATCGACGAGCCAGACCTGCCTCGGAGGCGAGAAGTCAAGTGTTGTGAGATCCTCAGCAAGGATCGTCTCGAGGAAGTCGCCAGCTTGTTCCCTGTGGATCTTCATGTATTCTGCCTTGAGGCCAAAGTAGTCGATTGTAATCGCGAGCGCGGGCATCCTGGATAGAGAACGAGAATCGACTGTGTTTAGAGGGGAGAGTGCAAGAGTCGGACGGGTTGAGACTGCGTGCGACGTCAGAAAGGAGATGCGGAGAGGCTCACATTGCAATCGGCTCCATTGCGATGCGGCTCTATACAGCCAGCCGCTGCCGGGTAGGACCACGCGCTGGTTGCCAATTTGACTGTCCATCCCGTCGATCACTAGAGAGCTGTCCAAAACGGCTGAATAGGTAGTCATAGATGAAATTAGCACTCGGCGAGGGACCTGAAGGCCGCTGTAAATCTGTAAATCCCACCTCCAAGATGCTCACTGACGGCAGTAAAGGATAAATTTCTCCCTTATGTCCAGTGAGTACTGTCCAGTGAAGACCGCCAGGCAAACACAATCGAGCTGCTGACCGACGTGATAGTGGGACATCCTCTAGTATCACAAATGAAATCCGCCGCACGGGTGACGAATAGTGTAGCGTACCAACCGACATCGTTCTCCTGAGTTCTGCGTCAACAATAGGCCGCACACCCGTCACCGTTGACTATTACGGAACGTTACCTTTCTGACGTCTTTGCACTTGGTTCGTCTTTGGGTTCATCTTCGGGCTGCTCGGTCACTGGTAGGTTCGGGTATTGCTATACCATATTCACTCTTGCATGGATATCTTGATATGAAGAATGAATGAAGGAACGGTGGATATTTTGACTCGCTCGCGCCCCTCGACACCTAGCAACGACCAATCAAGTCATTTATGAGGCAAGGTGAGAATCCGTTCCATAAAGCACGTTTGGTTCATTACGCAGGTTAGAATCATTAAGTGTGCCGGTATCGTCGCCAGCGCGCTGCCCTACTATCTTTGCGGTCACGATCAGAGAGTCAGAACCAAGTTGAATTGTCAACCGAAAGTAGGGCGACTCACAGTACTCCGTCACGATCCTATGAGTTCTAACATACAGAAAACTCTGTATCTACTCATTGACAATGCGTGCACGATAGGCGACGACGTGAGTCTAACGGAAGAGTCGAATTCAGTTGGAATTCACTCACTCGGTCCACTGCCGAGATCAAGTCACGCTGGCGTCTATTCGTGACCTTCAAGCTGGCTGCGTGACCTAAAGCGCAGTATGGCCAGTCCTCCTCCGAAGACCAGATTTGAAGCGACACATCTCCAGTTCGTTCCTGCTCATCCTCTTGCCTGTGGGGAGCCAACTTATTTGCTGCGCAAGCCTACACGTGATGCACCTCTAGGCAAAGGAAATGCAAGACTGCGTTGGATGTCGACGGCTGACATCTGTACCGATTGCAGACCCTTGTACCCGCGCCCAGCCCCGGGCCTCCAAGGAATACGTTCAAGACGGCACTAACCATGCTTACACGTATAGCACCGGAGATTCAAGCGCAACGGCAAGGACAAGATGGTGCACTGGGGAGCTTTGGCTAAGCTGACTTTTTGCGCTCGCGAACGACCTCGTCGGTAAGCAGTAATACCGTATCTTGGTTTATAGCACCGTTGGATCTGTTTTGGACCCTAACATGTCACTGTACCCTGCTCGCTGTCTTGGTCTATTTCCGCGCACGGCATACAAATCTAGTTTTGCTTCACTCAGGACCTCGGACATGGTCTGACTATGTTTACCGATGAACGTTTGAACGGCCTTCATTTGGATGCAAGCTCTCATTTTCACTGACGTTTTTCAAGATCTCAGCGCCCCGGAAGCGTGGGCTACGGGGTCACTCACCCAAGGTTGACTTTAGAGGCTGGCAACAGCGGCTGACAATGGCAGTCAGTTCTGGAATCACACTGACCCAGTGCATTCCCATCGCGTGCTTATATCGCCTTTCAACCGCCGTCCACACTTCCTTCTTCAAGACCCTGCCTCGACCAATCATGTTCACGGTCAACATCCACTACCGTGCCGGCGGCTCCAAGAGTGCGTACCTCAGACGTCCCACTCCCCAGGACCGCGACTACCGAGACAAGTTCCTCCGGCGGGACCTCTGGTACATGCGGCTGCCCGAGCCGCATGCTATGACAGTGGAGAGCAGGCAGGACGGTTGGCTGGTGTGCAGTTACAGGGCGGATATACCGGTGTGTCATCTATTCGCTGCTCTTGAGCGACACCCATGGGCTGGCTTGTCTTACCCCGGTTGGCAGGATCTATACGAGACCGTGCGTTCACGCGTCGAGTTCATTTTGAAGCCCGAGGCTGCGAGGCTGTTGGAGCTCCTCGAGATGTACGTGCCCTGCCATGCTGCGCATACAACCGACTCACGTTTGCTTACTCTGCAGAGCCCACGTCGAAGTTACACCTCCGTAAGTCGCTCAGTCGTGCTACAAATCAAAGGTATCCACTGCTCGACTAGCGTACATGCGACGCCGCCGCCGTTTCAACCGTCCAACATGATAGGCGACGTCAAACCAACTCCTAGCATACATGACGTCCTCCCTGCACCACCGCTGCCCGAGACGGAGACGGTGCTCCGCCTCCGTCATTTGCTTACGGTCCGCCAAGCCAGCGAGAACGTGCGCCAAAAAGAGAAAGAAGGTGTGATCTACTTGTCCTTGACGCGGCGAGCTGAACTAACACACTCACTCCGCGGTCGTGGATAGCCCTGCGCACGGAATGCGCTGAGTTGTGGTGCGATGAGCATCTAGCGAATGAAGAAAATGTTCGTGAGTACTCTCATCGCCGCTTTGCGTGCTAGCGTGGCTTACCGACGTCGGATTCGCAGGTCTGCGCCGCATCTTGAGGAAGGATGACGTTGCTCGAGGGCAAGTCGCGCAACAATGGGCGGCTTTCGTGCGGACGACCGAGGAGCTATGTGCCTAGCTCGCGGACCATGTTGTGGACCGCGCCTGCGGTCATCCTATTCGCTTATCCTTTGGAAGAATACCAGTGAGCTTTCTCACTGGCCCTCAACTGTCTGGGACACGAGTCAAATCTCATAGGATGACATCGTAAACAATCTGCTTCATTTTGTGGGCGCGTGTGTGGCGGTCCGCGCGAGACAAGATCAATGGGCGGGTACCCGGCCGGTTATCGCGCGTTTTCATAGATCACGATCCTCTTGGGCCCTCGCCCTCTTCAGGCCGTTCAGCGCCCAAAATCTCGGCTGTTGGTCGTCGAGCAGCAGCGCTTCGTGTTGTTTCATGGGGTTCCCTTGGGCAACCTGCCTCGGTGTGCACGACTTAGCCGCACGTGATTAGCCGCCCGCCATAGGGAACGCAAGAACGCGCGCCACCTCCACTGGAAACTGCCCGTTATATTGTCAATCTCGCGTACATGGTGAGGTCTGTGCGCACGAATCGCCCGGTCTCGGGACTCAGCCTGGGTTTGGTTGCGCCCTCTCAAATGCGCCTTTGGGAGGGGGCAGACAAGCACCAGTGCCTGCGGTAACGGTGATGTGTAACTTTTTGGTCAGTTTCCTATTTGTTCGAATTCTCATACGCAACACCGAGTGAAAAGGCGACATGAAGCGTGCGTAACATAGTCGCTAGCACCGTTTTATATTCCTGGTGGCGATTCATGATTTGTGGAGGAGGAGGAGGAGGAGGAGGGGATTCCATCTACTCCTCGCGTTCACGCGCCATAGGGCTCGCCACGCTATTCAGCAGCACGTTGGTGGCGATTGACGTGGGATTCGCACTGTCAGAAGACAGTCAGAGGACCAGCTCTACGCCAGCACCCAGATGTCATTGCGTCATCCCTTGCTGTCGCAGCCACGTCGTGACGTGTTTGCGTCATCCCGCCAAAACGGTCCTCAAAAGCGGACCCGCTGCAGTACTTGGTTCAACTTTCTGTCTTCCTCTCAACCATCACAACGTCGCACGGGTGCGGCCTGTCCTCGCGGCCTTCTCCTTCGTTCCTCTTGTATATCTTGCCACTCCTGCGCCTGGACAAAATGACCGCTTCCCAGCCTCACTCCATTCGACCGCTCGCGGTGCTCTTTCGTTATGATCTCAAGGGGCACAGAGCACGCTTTTTCGATCTCCGCATACGCAGCTTTGATTCATACTTTGTTCTGGAAGATCTCCAGGAGATGCGAATTCCGTATCCATCCGGAGTTGTCCTGTTGAATGAGAAGCGCGGAGAGGTTCTGTGCTCTTGGGGGCTCGGAGCTCATGGTCCTCAGACGGTGCGTGCTTCATTTATTCGCTCCCAAGCCCTGGCCTTGATGCGGTAGTTGATGTCGCCATTTGTCATCAGCCACAACTTGTCAACGCCGCTGAAGCAAGGATCAGAGCACTGTGTCTGTCTCGCTGTTACCGTCACCTCGACATGTGAGTCTAGTTTTCGTGTCTGTTGTTGTTCATTCCGGACATTGTGTTCAGCATAATACGTATATGCAGCGCAGTAGTATGACAGTGCCGCTTTTCGCGGGGGATCTGTGTAGAGCCTCCTGGACGCTGTTTTGTGGCGTCTGGTGGTTTTTGGTTTCACTACAAGCGTGTTTCTGATGTCCTGTCCCCTGCTGCCCCTGCCGACGTCAAACTGTCAAGCCACGGCACTCTAATGCATGCGAAATAGCAGGGCAGCGAGCGGCCTGGGGTGACCGACACCTTCATTCTACACTGCAGGTTGTTTTCATTGCTAACTTATCCCACATTCAGCATTGCGGTCGTACCTTTACAGGCGTAAGCTGTTCCCTGCCTTCGCGTTGTGACGTGACTGACTCTGTCACATGATGGCGGCATCGCCTGTTCTGTAGTGACGTTTTCCAAGAGAATCCGAATGCACCAGAAGCCACCGACCAGCATCGTCGTAATGCACCGAAGACAAACCCCCAGGAAACTCACAGTATGTCGAAGCCGAGATCGAAAGATGTCCCCAGAGTGCTGACGCCGAACGCAGAGACCGTACAGGCGGCTTCTCATAAGCGCTCCCGATCTGCAGCGAACGGCAATACGGATGCTCCTGCCCATTCGAAGCGCCGCTGCAGTAGTCCTCGCGGGGAAAGCGACTCGGGAGCTCCGACCACCTCCTCGACTACCTCTGCGGAGAATCGACCTCCGCAAGAACGTCGCACCCACCGGGCCTCGTCGTCTACCAAGCAAGCGAGGTCTGGCTCTGCTCCTCAAGGTGCTAAGAGCTCCGTCTTCCGTGGCTTAGGCAATTCTCCTGCTGCGTCGCATCACGAAGAGCAGGTCAAATCTACGGACTGTGCTGGCGGCAACACAGCTGTACGGGCTCTGGGTTCCTCTGGGTCCGCCGCGTCGTCGTCTAGTGCTCATCTCGCATCTCCCTGTGCTGCGGCCGATTTGGCTCCTGGTGCCTCTTCGGCTGGTCTCCTTGGCGCCTCGGGATCTCTGATACTCGGCGGAACGACGGCCCCTGTATCTGGTGCCTCCAATGACTCGATTCCATCAAACATACCTGTGACGACCCAGACCGTTGAACTCCAAGACGCGACGGCGAGGCTAGTGTCCCGCTGCCACAATAATGCGGTGCAGATCGCGTCGCTCCAGGAACAGCTGGAGGCCTGCAAGAAGGACAAGAGTGACTTGGAGGTTGATGTCATCCGTGAGTGGCTACCGCTTCCGCCTGTGCGTCAGACACTGACTTTGGGCGTGCAGTGATGGAGGTTGCCGTGAGGGCCAAGGAGCAGGAGCGACTGAACCAGGTGGTCCAGTGTACGTCGTCGCTCGCCTGCATTGGGACGTAGCATGCTGAAGGCAGTGTTCACAGCGCATAACGAAGCGATCCAGGAGCTGCAGAGCACGCTGTCGGACGTGACGACGGTACATGAAGGTAGGTCACTCGTGTTGATGGGCACGAGACGGTGCTGACGTCGTGCAGAGCTGCAGGTGCGGTACGACCGCCTTGTTAGAGGTTTGGATTCTGTGACTGCGTCCATCGCGCGCCCGTAAGGCGAGCCCATCCCAGCTGGCTTGGGTGTAGGATGATTGGATACGTCTGTGGACATATATTGATGTATCAGTGACATTTGTTTTGTACCACTGGTTGTGACCTAGAACACATTCTATCATTTTATATGTTTCATACCGAGGTTCCTCCATGTATCTGAGTTGTGACCACTCTTCTTCGATATCCTCATCCGCCTTAGTGATGTCCTTGTCTCCCTAGCTCAGAAATACAAGGCTTTCTCATACAACCGAGGCTACGTGAGTGGCTATACCGACAGTCAACCTCCTCCGAGTCGGGGACTAAGGACGCCGTCGGTTGAAATCGAAGACATGTCACATATATTGCCTCCACAATTGCGGCCAGTGGACGGTCGAGGTAAGAGTGACTCAAACCACGTATCGCTGGCGTGCGTCAGGTGTTTATTCGGTTTGCGCACTAGGCAGGCTGCCGAGAATGGTGCCCTTATTCAATATTCAGCTGCCGTTCTACGTAGTGTTCCATCTCAAATTGTTAAGGGTGACTGACCGATGAACATGAATACCGCCACTAAAGATGCAGCTCTAGGCGTCACCGACAAGGCGGTCACTACTGTATCCGCATTTATGTCCGATTTCAGCATGGGAGTGGTTTGCGTATACGGACTGCTGGCGCAGCGTTCTCCGCAGCGTCTGGACATCTCATTATGCGCTGTTATGCCGCCCGCGGCCCTCAGCGCGCGGTCAATCAACGGAGAATAGGGACGACGTACTTCGGATTGCTTGTTTCAGACATCATTCTCCTTCTCTCTCATGACTCCAACCCAGCATATGGCCTCAGACATGCACGCGCGTGTACAGTACTTGAATATTCCTAGAATTCGAACATCCAGGATGGACGATCAAATCATAAAAAATGTACACATCCAAACGGCACCGCAGACACTGGCGCTTGTCTGCCCCCTCCCAAAGGCGCATTTGAGAGGGCGCAACCAGACCCAGGCTGAGTTCCGAGACGGATACCTGCCGTTACGCCTGTGGATTTTCCGAGTTCGATACTCTGAAAGGCAGTTGCCGGTGGGCGTGGCGCGCGTTCCTGTGTTCTGTGAGGCTGGCTGCCGATCACGTGCAATTAAGTCGTACTCGACGCCAAAGGATTTTACGCAAGGAGCGCACCGAGCAGTGGACGACCGCTGCGCGATGACTTACAGCCGAGGAGGAGGACTGCTGCCTGAAGCAGTAGCCTGGGGAGTGTCGGAGGGCGAGTTCGAGAAAATCGTTATCGTGAGAATGCATGATAACCGACCGCGTAAGTACTTATCCACCCGCCGTGCATCGATCTTGTTTCCGCTAGTACACACACGCCCACAAGATGCAAGGCATGAAACTCCGATGGTAAGCTGTGGCTACCGTTGTCGAGGCTGACAGTGAGTCAGCTCACAGGCGAAACACAGCTCCTCAGTTGTCCGCCGGGAACACGTCACTTATGGTCTGTGGCCACTCACATCGGTTGAACTCACTAACGTAGAAATCCTGAGCAGCAGCTTCGGCTTCTACCCATTATGCGCGTCACGTTAACAAGTCCACAGCGGCGCTACAATAGGTCGTTACCGTTCCATTGATATCTGCGTTGGGTCCCTACTCACTGATTCGCTTCCCTTAGGATGCCAATCCCCGCCATCTGACTGTCTGGAGCGTCGCATCAGTCATCTTCCGATCCTGGAACCAACGCCGAATCCCCTCTTCGCAGAGTGTCACGTCGCTTCGTGGCACATACGGTCGGCTGCACGTCACGGTGACTGACCGCCAGTTGTGTACAACGCGAGAGCGCGCGTAATGTCCACCGGTGCCTAAGAGGATCATATGTCTATTGATCTTGTAACCTGGGGATACGCAAGGTCCCTTGATGTGCCAGCCCCGGAACCCAGCCCGGGTTTGGTTGCGCCCTCTCAAATGCGCATTTGGGAGGGGTCAGACAAACGCTCGGATGTCTCAGGTAAACGGTGACATGTACCTTTTTCGTTGTTGGCCTCGGACGTGAGTTCATGAGCTGGATCACAGCTGCTCAGCCTGCTTCTCCAAATGTGTACTCACCCATTGTCTTTATGAACCGTTGAGTAGGCTGAGTAGGCAGTGCCAGTGAGGGGAAATGTCGTAAGTACGATGCGTGGCCTTTTATACTGGCATAGAGCCCATCTGCCTGAATCGGCGGCGCACCTCACCACGTGGGTCTGTCAGAATGCACTTTGAAAGGTGCCCCGCTGTGGTGGTTCGAATTCAACTACCTTATTTCCCTCAACATTCCACTCGTCGCACTGGTGCGGCCTGCCTACCTGGATATCCCTCCTACAACACGCAATGACCACTGGCAGTCTACGCAAGCCCGTCTTAGTACCATGCGCGGTACTGGTTCGTTACGACCTCACTGTGCGGGGCTATAGGTCGCGCATGCTCGGTCGTGACGCGGAGGGTCGCAACGATCCCAATTTACGCATAATACGCGAGGACCTCAGAGCGATGCGTATCCCACCGCCATCCGGAATTATCCTTCCTGGAAACAACGGGGAGTTTATCTGTCACTGGGGGTTCTGATCCCATGACGATGAGACGGTGCGTGTGTTGTCCACTCACTCGCGGCTTTCCTGACATCAGACACCCAGAAGAACATCATTAATGAGGTGCGATCAAGAATCCACAGTGTTTGCAAGTCTCGACGCATCCACGACTTCGCAACGTCGGAGCGTACCTCGTCAAGTGTCCGTTATCTCAGTCCTTATGCGGTTCCAACCCGCTCCGTCAATGTAGCAGCGAGATTGTGAACTTATATGCGTGAGTTACTTTCTTTCCGTCTCTCGACATCGTGATGCTCATCCCGGGCCCGGGCACATGGTCGCCATTTTTCATGCTATAGAGAAGCAACTGAGCATGCTCCGAGTGCGGTCAAGGTAAATAGCCAAGGCATCCCCGGGCCGCCGAAGGCGAATGGTGCTCCTGGCATGAGGAACAACAACGTCGACGTGCCGAAGAGGAATGCTAGCGGTTTCAACCTCAACGAGCCCAAGACAGACCTTACCGATTCACAGACGGCTTCGCATAAGCGCTCACGATCTGCAGCGAACGGCGACCCCGATGTTACTGCCCATCCGAAGCGTCGCTGCAGTAGTCCTCGCGGAGAACGCGACTCGGGAATTTCGACTTCGACCGCCTCCTCGACAACTTCCGCTGAGAATCGACCTACACCAGAACGCCGGACCAGCCAGGCCTCGTCACAATCGTCTACCAAGCAGGCCGAGTCTCCGGGAGGGGCTGGCTCTATTCCGGAAGACCAGAGCCTTGCCGTCCGTGGCTTTAAGAACGCTCCTGCTGCGTCGGGTCACGAGGAGCGGACCAAATCTACGGATAACTCAGCGGGCGCCAGCACAGCTGTACGGGCTCTAGGTCCCTCTGCGCCGGCCGCTCCGTCGTCTGGTGCTCGCCTCGCATCTACCTGTGCTGCGACCGACTTGGCTCCTGGTCCTAGTGTCTCTTCGGCTGGTCTCCTTGGCGCCTCGGGATCTCTGGCAGTCAGCGGAACGACGGCCTCTGTATCTGGTGCCTCCGATGACTCGGTCCCATCCAACGTACCTGTGACCACTCAGACTGCCGAGAATGGGCGCGAACTCCAAGACGCGACAACGAGGCTAGTGTCCCGCTGCCACAATAATGCGGTGCAGATCGCTTCGCTCCAGGAACAGCTGGAGGCATGCAAGAAGGACAAGAGTGACTTGGAGGTTGATGTCATCCGTGAGTGGCTACCGCTTTCGCCTGTGCGTCAGACACTGACTTTGGGCGTGCAGTGATGGAGGTTTCCGTGAGGGCCAAGGAGCAGGAGCGACTGAACCAGGTGGTCCAGTGTACGTCGTCGCTCGTCTGCTTTGGGTCGTCGCATGCTGAGGGCAGCGTTCACAGCGCATAACGAAGCGATCCGGGAGCTGCAGAGCACGCTGTCGGACGTGACGACGGTACATGAAGGTAGGTCACTCGTGTTGATGGGCACGAGACGGTGCTGACGTCGTGCAGAGCTGCAGGTGCGGTACGACCGCCTTGTCAGAGATTTGGATTCTGTAACTGCGTCCATTGCGCGCCCGTAAGGCGAGCCCATCCCAGCTGGCTTCGGTGTAGGATGATTGGATACGTCTGTGAGCCTATATTGATGTATCAGCGACATTTGTTTTGTACCACTGGCTGTGACACAGAACACATTTCTATCATTGTCATTATAGGTTTATGGTCTCCCCGTTCGCCGCAGCAACGTAGTTGCTTCTCCAGCTCGGAATGTCGAGTTTTTCTCGCACAGCCGAGGCTGTGTGAGCCGCGTCGACCGACCTCGTCGGGAACTGAGGACAGAGTCGGTTGGGTTCGAAGGCACGTCGCATGGATGGTCTGTACCTACAGCCTCGTCAGTTTCGGACGACCTTCCGACCGCGCACTGTCTTGCGCAGGAACCCGTGTTCCGTGGCACATGTGGACAACGCCCGGGACCTGAACGTTGAACCATGGATCACTGCTGTGCACTGAGATTGTCACTCGGTTTGCGCACCGAGAGCGAGAAGAGCCTCTTCACTCAGCATCCATTCATCGTGCGCACTGTTCCGTCTCTCAAACCAACGCAGGTACAGAGCTCCGATTCACGACTCAAAGCGGATCCGCCCACTGCACGACCCCGGGCTCGGACCCCTCTCCTCCCGCGCATCACAGCACCCTCTGCCGCACATCCCTTCCGCTTCCACGACCTCCACCACGGGCCCCGCTTGCACCGCCACGCAAGCCTGCACGGACACTGCATGAGTGGTCACCGACATCGCACGATTGGCCACTCACGTTTACGCGCCCTCTCCTCGCGTGCCCGCCGTTCCTCCTCCTCCAGACGCCGACACGCATCGTTCAGTTCTGCGTCGAGGCAACGTGCGCGGGTACCGGAGGGCGCGGATAATACGAGCCCGGGTGAGTATCGTGCTCGGAATGCAGACGCGCTCACTCGCACTCACCGGTGTTCTCCGCGGTGTGCTTAGCGTAGCAGGCCTTGTGTTGCGCGAGGAGGTCCTCGAGCTCGGCGACCTTCGGGTCGGTAGGCGCTGCGGGCGTGCGCTGGCCGTCGTCCCCGGCATGCGTCTCCTGTTCCGCCCGTGTGGCGGTTTCTGCAGCTACTGGCGCGCTGGTCTGAGGCTCGGAACGTGGCTGATGTGGTACGTCGGACGGTTGGACGACGGGGCTTTGCGTGGCTGGGGTCCTACGTGGGGCGAGTTGGTGAGCAGGTGTTCAACTCGGATAGGACTCGGAACGGGATGGTGACGGTCTTTGGGGGCAGCGCCATAGCGAGACAGAGCCCTGCCCGATGCCTGGTGCCAGACCGGGCGAAGGACACGGCCGCATACATGCATGCATGCGGGTGGAACCCGGCACGATCCAGCAGGGATGGCGGGCCACTGAATCGGTGGATGGATGAGCCGTTCGGTAGGCGTGAAGAACGAATTCGTACGGAGAAGCATGAGGATAAGACCACTCACGGCTGCGCGAGCTCGATCTTGGAACTGCCAATCGAACGCGCTGGGTCAGTGTTTCTCATGTTGGGAATAGCAGCACGGCACTCACATCTCGAGGCGTTTGAGCAGCTGAGCTGCACCCGGGTTGTTGAGAAACTCGACCTGCCCGGCGATCTGTTCGAGCAGTCCAGACTGGGGGACACGCTTCAGTGAGAGAAGGACTTCGAGAAAGCATAACGCACCTCCGAGTCGTCGTCCACGATGCCCGCGAACCACCTGCACTGGATCTTCCCCTTGGGCAGGCTCTGCAGCGTCGTGTCGTACATCCACTTTGAGGGGAGCTGGAGGTACAGAAGGTCGCGTTCGAGAAATTCAGGGTAGTACTCGCAGACGTCGTGCTCGCGGCTGCGCATGTAGGCGACCTTGCTGCCGTCGAGTCGGTAGGAGATGTGCACCGAGAGTGAGGGCGTCTTGGGCGGCATCCTGTGTATGAAAAACGAGTGTAGGGGGGCGACGAGGCGAACGAAGAATATAGGCTGTGAGGTAGAGGAGGGAGACGGTGCGAAGGTACTTATAACGAGGGTCGCGGTGACTGTCAGCCTCCGCCGACCAGTCAACCGCAGGTCGCTGACTGTCAGAGAGCGGGTTTCCCATCACCTGAGCTTCAGTTATGTTTCGAATGGTGATAGAAGACATGCCATGAAAGTAGAATGCGCGACCAGCGTACACAGCGCGGACACATGATGAGCTCGCCATCCATCCCTGCACACTGAGAGTAAGACGTACCGGCGTCGCGCGCGTAGAGAAGTAGGCGAATTGAGGGGGATCGCTCGGCCGTTGAGCGACGTCGACGAAGAGCACTGGGTCGGTGCCCTGCGCGACGCCAGCGCTGGAGTGAGGATGGCCAGGTTGCGCTGTCAAAAAGTGAGACGGTGGTCCAGGCCCCGCATGACGCACATGGAACACGCGTCAACCCTGTGCGAGTGCGTGTAGAAGCCGCGTCGACAACATCGGAAGCAAGTCGCGATTTCGAACGGGCGCTCGATCGCCGCTCTGATTGGCCGATCGTGCGCGGAGGACGCGTCACTCCGTCCCTCCTCGCATGCTGATTGGCTGGAGGGTCGAAAAAATTTGCCTTCTTTCGAACGTCCGTCTCTCTTTCTTTATGTACGAGCATACGTCCGCCTCCCCGCAGGGACACTCGGTGGCAAAACGAACGCTGCTCTCAGTCGACGGCCGCGGACACGGTACGTGCTCACCCTCTGCGATGTGTGCTCAGTCGCCGCATCCCTCTGCGCAACACCGTGACGTGCCCGTTCGCGCGATCTACAAGTTGATAACGCGGCAGACGAGAGCCATCAGCCAGGTACGCGCCTTTCAAATCCCGTGTACCGACTCACCTCGTCGCGCTGCCTGTCGCACCTACAACGCCTCGCGCCGTCCTCCTAGCATCCCCGCGCCGTCCCGTCACTCGCCGTGGCTGCATACTCGGCATTTGCTGCCAGTTCAAAACGCGGCAGGCGAGTTTCTGTCAGTCGCGCATCCTTCGTTGGTAGACGCTCACACTCACCTCGTTGTTTCTAGAGCATATCCGCCGTCCATCTCTGAACTCACTCTGCCCACGAACCTCCCGCCGTCCCGATCGCGTATACAGCATCCGCCATGGCTACTAGTTGATAACGCGGCAGACGAGTCGGCGTCAGTCATGCATCCTTCATTCCCAGATGCATTGACTCATCTCGTCACGTCCATGGCATGCCGTGCTCCCCGCTATCCATCTCCGGATTCCGAATCTACGACCCTCCCGCTGTCCCGATGGTCTCGTCCAGTGACGTACGCCGTGGTACGCATCATCCGCGAGGGCGACCAGCTAATTGATAACGCGGCAGACGATTCCTCGTCAGCCACTCAGCTGTACTCCACATCGCGAACAGGCTCCCTCCCTCCCTCGCGTCCCTCGGTGGTATTCGCACGTGGTTGGATGTCAGATACGCACCTGTTGGCGAACCTACGTGAGTAACCGTAGCGCGCAGAGCATAGCACACTCTACTCACCTGGACAGTGGTCCCTCGGCAGTACCCTCTCCACTGCCAGTGCCCTGCTCACCGTCAGCTACGGGTTACCACTAGCGGCTGAACGCTTACCTCGAGCTCCCTTCGCCTCGACTCCCCGCGAGAGCCCACCCCGCTCACACGATCCCGCTCGCCGGAATTCGATACCTCGTGTCTTCGTCGAACCGGGCCCGCTCAAGACGACCGGCGGAGCGTGAGGACGCCTCAATATAATCGTGCAGACCGAGGTGGTGGACGCGCGACAGTTGTCGGAGGTCCGTTGGCCGGACGACGATGTGTCGTGTCTTTGCAGGTCGAAATACGGTGCCAAGGGACCGGGGCCGCAGATGACGGTGTATCGGTGACGACGTGCTTGCTCACCGAGTTCCCCCGCGTCAGCCAGCAGCTTCCGTGGCAAGACGCGTTGTGTGCAGTCGACATGACCGGTCGAGGTACGGTGCACGCGCGAGGACCGCCAAATTTGCCAGACGCCCATACGTCGTGTCAACGATGTTCGGTGGGTGCAAACGAGGACGGGCGAAGACGGTGTGAGAGGGGAGACTGAGTGGCGACGTGTTCACGTCATCGTGCAACGTTGATTCAATCGAGGTAGGTCCACTGACCATGCTCATTTGCGGTAGTGACAAGGGTGTCCGGTGGAGATCGCGTGCTGTACAACCGGACAGCACCCGAACCAGACCCTCGTACGAACCCGCACCGTTGCCCGCCTCGACGTGGGCGAGAGGCGGACTTGGAGACATCGACAAGGGACCCGGTGAACAGGGGCGCGCAGGGTCCGATTCGCCGGACAACGATATGTCGTGTGTTCAAAGGTTGGACTGCGAGTCGTCCCAGAGGATTCCATGGAGATGCGGGGGCGCGCCCCAAGACGGTGGCCTCGTGCAGGAGATCCGCAAAGGATCTGTGCCATGCCCGTCGATGCAGCACAAGCTGGGACACACCACATTCAGCTCACCGGACGACGATACGTTGTGACGGTCCGGACGGCGGATGGCGACGGTGTAGTACAAGAAGGTACTGGGGGGAACAGAGCAGCCCCAACAGATATCAGTGGGATCCACGTAGGAGCGGCGGTGTGCGTGTCGAGGCCAAGCCCCTCACGCGCAGACGAGGTACGTTGACCGAGTGGTTTCCTTCTCGGCATCAATCGAGGTACGCAACGAGACGTCCGGCGGACGACAGCAGACATCGCCTTCCTCGTGCGTGACCAGCCGTTGCCGTACATTGCGAGCGAGCAACGTCACCGAGCCGACGTGAATGAACCCGAGGAGTGCGCGATGGACGTGTCGTTCGTGAGGGGTATGCAGAGGAAGTTTGGGCGGGAGGGACCAACATGACGGGCACGAGCGTACTAGATACGGTCTCTTGCGGCTCTGTCTCGTAGAGGGATGGGGACCGTTTGCTTGGGCCGGTGCGCGGATGCCATGTGGGGCTTCTGGGAGCAGCATGCAGTACGCTTGCAGACCGGACACACGCATACGACGGCTGTCGATGGTGGAGACTTGAGACCAGGACGGAGTTCGCCAATACACCTGGCGGACGACAAGCCTCTGCGCCGTTTGTCCAGTCTGGGATAGGTCGTCTGTGGTGGGTCGTGTGCCGTGTAGCCTTGTTCGTCGGAGAGCTGTGCTGTCGGGACAAGGGGTGAGTACTGGATCA